GGTGCAGGAAAAAAAGGATAGGGGGGGGGGGGGGGTGTTGTTTTTAATATCTGGCCTTGTTTCTTTTTATCCTCTCAAGTAAAAGGTTTTGTTTCCCTTTGTCCTTTTAAGTAACTGTTAATAAATTGTTTTGCTTTAAGAAATCTGAGTCTGTTTTGCCCGGGACCATGGTTGGTGGGTGCTCCTTCTTTGTTCTTATGTTGACCCTCAGTCCTTTTATTATATTTTTCTCCTCTCCACTTCACTGGGGAAGGAGTGAGAGAGCGGCTGTGTGGAGTTCAGTTGCCGGATTGGCCTAAACCCACGACACTCTGCTATACTTTGAGGCTCTGTCATGTGTCTGCAGCTCTTCTAAACCAGAACCAAGCTGACTTGCTGTGTCCTGAGGAACGTGGGTTTTGTGCAGCTCAGAAACATGTTCTTTCCCTCTGTAGGTAACTTCTGATGTCAAATGGGGATTCATAAAGTGGGATTGGTCCGGGCTGTTTTGGGAAGGGTGAAGGGTGCTTAATATGCAAAGGCATCAACTAGAGTGAGTTAGTCTAAACAGGACAAGCCCCAAGCTTTCAATTCCCACTTGACTAATGCTTTCATAGAGCAGAAGGTGGCATCAACATGGACATCATGCTGTGAATCATCGTTAAAGGGAATATTTTAGCTCATAGCAGCATTTGCCAATTGAAAATACCATTTCTGTGCTGATGGCAGATGCAATCTGCCAGGAGAAGCCCAGTCACCCAGCCTGATCTGCTGGTTGGCAGTAGGCTCAATGGAAGTCAACAGTGTGCCCTGGCATCCCAGATGGCAAACTGCATCCTGGGGTTCATCAAACACAGCATAACCAGCCAGCCAAAGAGGTGGTTATCCTGCTGTATTCTGCATCAGCGTGGACTCACGTTGAGCACTGTGTGCAGTTCTGAGCCTGTCGTGGTTTAACCTCAGCTGACAACGAAGTCCCACACAGCCGCTCATTTCCTCCTCAGAGGGATGGAGGAGAGAATCACAACAGGAAAAGTGAGAAAACTTGTGGGCTGAGATAAAGACAGTTTAATACGTAAAGCAGAAGTTGTATACATAAGTAAAGCAGAACAAGGAATTCATTCACTCCTTCCCATGGGCAGGCAGGTGTTCAGCCATCTCCAGGAAAGCAGGGCTCCATCACGTG